TAACTTGTCAGACAGTGTTCATCAGCGTTAAATAAACAGATATTAACACTTTTTCCTTCCCAACTTTCCAGTTTCTGGGATATTCACAAAAAATAAGAGTATCACATATATTTTGTGGATTCTAAGATTCAGAGATTTTCTTGACTTCTAAGTGGATTCATGATATTTGTATCTCAGTCTGTTAATGCCTAGGTGTGGAGAAAGGTTTAAAACAGTTTGATTCATAACTTGATTTTGTTCAATGTTTGGCCAGTGATTGTTTGGCAAAGGAGAATGAGAATTTAAAAAAACTGTTTCAACTTTACAGTACAGTGTAAATAGTGTTTTAAGGGTTTTGCTTGATTTGCTATCCAAAAATCAATTGTAATCAAAGGATTGATTTGAAAATTTTTAGAGGCTAGTGAATCAATTAAGTAGTACAGTAGAGCAGAAAAGGACTCAGGCCAGAATACCTGGCTTCAAACCCAGCTCAGAATATCTTTTGGCCTTAGGAAAAAATCAGGTAATCTCACTTTTCTCTAGTGTCCTGCTCTCCTGATCAGTAAAATGGGGATGGTGATAAAACTACTTATAAAGCTGTGAGGATTCAGTGAGTTTATTTTCACTGCTTAGAGTTGTGCTACATTTTTAATAATGATTACCATTAAGCACGTCATATTTATCTTACTCCTTAGTGTTTCCACTGTTGGAGTTTCATCGGATAAATTATAGACAAGGACAAAGTATAATTCCCAAATTGGCAAAAATGTAATTTTCATAAAAATAGGTATTGAGCCTGGGTAAAAATTTTACTTAACTCATTTTCGAAGGTACCAGCAAAAAAAAAAAAAAAAAAAAAAAAGCGGATTCCTAAGAACAAATAAAACCCAGGATGGATTTTCATAAAAGGAAAAGCTGAAATGAAATGGCCAGTTAGATACCTATAGAGCAATTGAAACAGACCTTTGGAATATCTTTTCTATGAGACAGAAAGTAAAATCATTGCACCTTTTCAGTTTTAAGTAAACATCTAACTTTACAAGAGCTGTAAAATGCCTGGGCCCTAGTCAACAGTAAATAGTAAGTCTAAGTTGTCTTCTCCTAGAGAGTCAGATGACCTTTGGCCAGCCTGTTGGACAGGGCTCTGAGAAGATACCAAAACCTGCATTATTTCTAGGTTCAGGATAACCTTACTAAGGGTTCCTAGTAAGAGTGAAATATAAAAATATTTTAGGAATTTCTTTTCCACCAGCAGCCAAAAAAAAAAAATCAATATTAACAAAATGTGAACATGGAATTTATGCAGCACTGTTCATATCGACGAAAGTTCACTAGCTATTTGAGATGCCAAGTGAATTTACACTGATGCTGATGTACATGTGCTTTATTTTAAAGCCACTGAATTATGAAGAAAACCATCAAGTGATCCTGGAAATTGGCGTAAGCAATGAAGCTCCATTTACTAGAGATGTTCTACCCAGATTGACAACTATAAACAGAGCCTTGGTTACTGTTCATGTGAAGGATCAGGATGAGGGGCCTGAATGCAGCCCTGCAGCCCAATACATACGGATTAAAGAAAATTCACAAGTGGGGTTAAAGATCAATGGCTATAAGGCATATGACCCTGAAACTAGAAGCAGCAATGGTTTAAGGTACAAGGAAATATGTAACCAATATACTAATAATATATTTGTAATAATTTAGATGCTATGTTATTTTAAAACATTTTGTAATTCTAAAGACTTATTTTCTATTAACAGGTACAAAATATTGCATGATCCTAAGGGATGGATCACCATGGATGAAACTTCGGGGTCAATCAAAACTTCTAAAATCTTGGACAGGGAGGCTGCAACTTCCAGAAATGAGTTATATAATATTACCATCATGGCAATAGACCAAGGTAAAAAAAAAAAAGCATTTAAATCTGGTATTTCGTAAAGGGATTGGAGAATAAACTATAATTATTCTTGTGCAGAATTATTCTTGTGGTAAATACAGTCATCTCTTGATATCCACAGGGGATTGGACAGGGGATTGGTTACAGGACCCCCTAGGATACCAAAATCTGAGGATTCTCATGTCCCTATGTAAAAATGGCATAGTATTTGCATATAACCTATGCACATCCCCTGCATATTTTAAATCATGTCTAGATTACTTATAATACCTACTACAGTGTAAATGCTATGTAAATAGTTGTTATACTGTATTGTTTTCTAATTTTATTATTTTTATTATTGTGTTGTTATTTTTTTCCAAATATTTTTGATCTGCAACTGGTTGGATCCATGATGCGGAACCTGTGGATAAGGAGGGCTGACTGTATATGGAATTCTTACAAATTACTTTAAAGAGTCTGTGCCTATGTCTCTAGTCATCTAACAAGATGAAACTGCTTGGTGACAAGAAACCATGCCTTAGTTATATCTCCAGTATGACAGGAGCTTAAATACCTATATATCTCTATGTTAAAAGGTGAAGATAAAAAAACCTAGAACCAGATGAAATGGTCTCATCAGACTCTTCCAGATCTCTTGGTGTCACTTAAAATCAAGCCTTTAAATAGCTCTGCTGATTATTAGGTCAAGGTGATTATTTCCTTGAATTCTGCTTTTTAATGTAACTGTGAGTTTCCCAGCCTTAGCTTCATATTAAAATAAAAATATCAATGTGTAGACACTACATTATACAAACTGGATCAGATCTCTAGTTGTGGAGCCTGGGCATCATATATTTAAAAAATCTCCCTGGGTGGTTTGAATGTGTACTGGGATTAGAATTTCTGTATCCACATTACTATTTCTCATTAACATGTGCCCCAGCAACCCAGGAAAATGGAGAGTTTAAAATTCAGTTATCGATTTTTATTATTTGGTAGTAATTCTGGTAAAAGGTATATTGGTAGTTGCATTTGATACTATCAACAGCAGTAATTATTTTAGATTATGTGAAGATGTTATTTATCAATCTATGGTCTTATTTATTTACCATTTTCCATAATAATCAGAGTTTATTAAAAAGCCCAATATATCATATATAGAATATAATTGGTTTTTTTCCCCTAAGAAACTATAAAAGAATTAAAAAATTACACCAAACCTTATTCCTTTCTTCTTAGCTGGTAGATCATGTACTGGAACTCTTGCAGTGAACATTGAAGATGTGAATGATAATGCACCAGAAATACTTCAAGATTATCTAGTAATTTGCAAACCAAAGATGGAATATACTGACATTTCAGCTGTTGATCCTGATGAACCTGTCCATGGAGCTCCATTTTATTTCAGTTTGGCAAACACTTCTCCGGAAATCAATAGAATATGGACCCTCTCCAGAGTTAATGGTATTCAATAAAAAATAATGATCTATATACTCTGAAATAACTGAGAATAACTGGAGAATAGATTTACTTATTTACTTACACAAAGCATGAAGTAAAATTAATTCTCATTAACAAATTCTAGAAGACTAAACCTTTTACAAACATTGTGTGGGGGTTGTGTTATATATTGTATATAAAATGAAGGAAGTTAGAATTTTTATGAAGGCAATATTTACATTTATGTCAAAGACAAAAAAGCTTTGTTAAAATATGGTCAGCTTATCGTTATGACATTTTTGCTGTGTTTTTTTAAAGTAATTCTAGTGGGATATGGAGAGACCAGGTAATGTATAGTTTATAGTGTATTGTAAGCAGGCTCTGGAAAGGAGGAATCTGGTTATATGGGACAAACACTCCATGGTGTCCTGGGAGTGGGATATGGAAAGGCCCCTGGCATTGGAGCATTCAATGGCTGCCTCCTATGATAGCAGTTTCTGGGGGATGTAGTGTCTTATAATTCATCCACACTTTTCTCTTGTTTTGTTACTCTGTCACGTTCTTTCATATAACTGGACTTTCGAGTATGCTGCCCTGTCTGCCTAGAACACCTCCTTTTCCATTTCTTCTCTTGATATTCATTCATAATCTTTACGAGAACCTACTATCTATCAGTCACTGTTCCAGATCTTGAGGATATATATAAAGATGAGCAAAACAGAGATAATCCCAGCTCAGGTGCTCAACTCTGTGAAGTCTTTCTTGAGGTAGATGGAGTGGCGCCATGACCTTTTGCTACCTGTATTATAGTGCCGTGTTGTATTATCATCTGTTTACCTCCCTCCTTCAACACATGAGTTTTTCAGAACATTTCTAATTCNTTAGAAAGGTTTAGTGGGAATGCCAAGAGTTTGGATTGAAGGAAGGGTGGAATCTGGTGGTGAAAGACCTTATGTGCCAGGCTGAGGAGGCTGCTCTTTGTGCGGTAGGTGACAGCAGTTGTGTATTGGGAATGTGCAAGCCAGACACACCCAGATTTATGTCTTATAAAAGTGACATTGGTGGTAGTGAGGAGGACAATTTGAAGAGGGCAGAGTTAAGTGGCAAGGAAAATTCAAGGCTCCTGCTCCTCTGTGAATAAATAAGACATGACTATAGCTCAATTTGTTGTCTTGAGGGAAGGGAGGGACTTGAAGGATCTTACCTTAGACATAATGTGGTCCTGAAGGGTCCCAAATAAATGCAAGTGGGAATCCACATCCTCTGGCGAGCTTTCAGGTATGAGGTACAGCCAAAATCTTTGAAGTTCTTACAGCTGTAACAGCACGTTTAGTCAAGGCGTGGAAATTGCAGGTGACTTCCAGGATGTGTCTTATGCTACTTTGTCATTGTGAATAGTCTGTTATAAAAACTCAAAAAGGTTGTAATTACCATGGAAAATCTGTGTAACTTTTGGTCAGGTTGATAATAAGGTCATAAAACCAAGATATCAAGATTATTGGGGGAAATTGACTATCAAATTGTGAATAAAAATGAATTGTTGTGATACAGATATATCTCTTTGTGGGGAAGCCTTATAACTAGCCTGAGTGATATTAATTAGCTTCCTGGTATTGAGATTACTTCCAGATGTAAGGCATTAATCATAAAGTATCTACTGTGTTTTGAAAAATTACCTTATCTGTAAAGGTAATGGACAGATACCAGAAGGTAAGTAGATAAGAGAATGTGAATTTAAAACATCCTTTGCGTATATCTGTAGGTGTTAATTCTTTTTGAATATATAAACTGGTACTAAAGAAAAATGCTTGAACTGTATCTTAAGAGACCATCTAGCATGTTCAGTTTATATAGATAAGGGAATAGTAAATATTGCTGGAGTGCTATGGGGTCACTCCAATGCCAAATTTTTTTTTTT